ACAAAACGGCCTACGCCTGAAAAGGTACATGAGCTTCTTTGCGGCGTTTTTGTCGTGCGTTTCCATTGGGATACAGCCAAGTAGCTCTCGAAAACGCGAGTAGAAACGCGCATATTGGATACGCCTAGGTGTGAACAGAGCCTTAGAGTTCATGAAGATGTAAACGGACGCATGACTAGAAGTGGACAGCCAGAGAAAACGATACAAAAACATGCACATTTACAACCCCCAGACTAGCGCTACTATTAACTTGCAGAGGAACATAATGAAATGGGGAAAAGAGTAAGCATGCACCCAAAATTACAACCTATAGTAAACAAAAACACACTTCGAAAATAAAGAATGCAAAATAGAAAAAAGAAAAACCAATGAATACATATTGTCCGAGAAGGCTGGCTATTGACAGCCAACTAACCTAACAAAATAAAATGGCCCAATGGCCTTGTAAACGTATGAGCGTGAACAGCTCTGTTCTAAAAGACTAACTTGAATTAAAAGGTTATCGCTGTCCTCCTGTCCTTGCTTGTGATCAGGAGATCCTTGTAAACGGCTATAAGACTTCTACTGATTCATAAGCAAACGCCCCTCTTCCTTATTGTTTTGTAGCTGCCCCGGCTGTCTGTCAGCAAGATGGTTGACTGGCAGCAAATCATGAAACTGCTAAGGAAAATACTTTTTTGGACAGACAAATAGAAGTTATCTGGAACTTCTCTGTCCTATGAAAGCGTAGCTGGAAGCAAGAGAAGTCTAGCTAGTGTAACAGTATTTTACACTGAAAGTCATTCTACCCAATGCGGACATCTCCCTTAGGGTTGGATACTGATGGGCTGACTCAAAATAACAGAGGCCTCCTATATCTCAGGATCCAGCGAGGAGATACCCCTCTCAGGTTCCTAGCCCCAGGTCACCATTCCCCCTGCTGCACCCACTGTGGAACTAAGGAACCAAAATGACATTGCAGCCCCCCTAGATCTAAAAAGCCAATAACCGTGAAAGCCCCAGAATCAACTAATGACAAAAAAAATAAAAAGTTTGGGTGGACGTTCCCTTTAATGTGGCCTAATACTGAATATAAAGTTATCTTAGCAGTCATGCCAGGATGGATTAAGAACAGTTCAGCTGAAACACCATTCCTGCACACAATGCTACTCTATGATCACATAAAGCAGGGAAGTCCAAACTCTGGCCCTTCAGCTGTGGTGAAAACTACAAATCCCATGAAGCATCTCTCTCCGGGAGTCATGTCTGTGAGAATCTTGCAAAGCCTCATGGGATTCGTAGTTCCACCACAGCTGGAGGGCCGGAGTTTGGACATCCCTGACATAAAGGGATTAGGTCAGATGATCTCTGCTGACGGGGAGTCAATAATAGCTGAACCTATTATGAGGTCTGTCGCTAACTTCCAAAAACAGACACTTTGACATTTTAAAATCAGTAAAGAAAAAAAAAAGGGGAGACAGAAAAAGCCTTCTTCCTTCAGCAGTACCAATTTTTGAATACACCTACCCTAAAGCTGCAAAAATGTGTTACAAAATAAATAAAAAGGTCTTTTTTTTTGTGGTTTTGATGTTCCATAAAAATACTATTGTTACCAATCACAGACATTGCGTTATGAAGAATAAGGTGATTTGTACATGAATCTCTTAAGTTATATTACATACTTTTATACACTAGAAAATAGCAAAGCTACACAATAAAGCATTAGAAATGTTGAAACCGTTTATGTTAAAAGCCAGTATAAAATGGCAACCCTTCATCTCTGGGTGTGTAATAAAACAATTCAGGAACGGACAGCAATGAATAATCGGGGACTTGAGAAACCTGTGCAGGCATAGAACCTGAAAGTGTTCAAACCTTACGCAGATTTTACCCAGCTTTCGACCTGCACAGGTTTTGCACATGTCCCCCTTCACTTTAAGGTTGTGTGTATTCCAGGTACTAAAGGTTCGTTCCTAACAAGATCTGAAATAAATACTGCCTGTGATGTCTATAGCAAACCACACATCCCTTTTATTCTCCAACCTAATACAAAAAGGAGAATTTGATTGGTGTCCATCATTGTGCAATAAGTTCTTAATAGGTACTGCTAAAAATGAGGCTTGTTTTCATAATGACAAATTAAAGTGTTAGTTCACCTTCCTGCACCCCAGCACTTTGCACCTTTTCACCAACATGAGAGCTTCCTAGACTCTCCGAAGACTTTTTTCTTCTCACAATATTGCACTCAGCGGCAGCCGACATGTTTCTTTCCTCACAGATTTCCTTTAAAGGGTTAGTCCACCTTTCGTCACATATTCCAAAAAAATCCCCATTGCTTTCCATCAGCCCCATCCCATTCCCATGTTAACAAAGCTGCCCTTTCCTATTGCATACCTGTAGGTGCTGCAGGGCCCGTGTACAAAGACCTCTAGGTGATTAACCCCCGCCCCCTCTGGCCAAACTACAGAACAGGCTGGATGTCAGAAGTATGCCCCAGCAGCTAATAGTTAAAACTGAGCCCGCATGCAGTGAACTCTATCAGCAGCAGCCAAGTTCAGCCGCTGCTGCAAGAGGGAGAGAGCGTGCACTGCGACCACCTACACGTTTTTTGCATGCAGGCCCTGCAGCACCGACAGGAATGCAATGGGAAAGGGGCACCTTTCTTAACCTCAGAACGGTGCTTTGCAATGTGCTGGGGTTGATGGAAAGCAATGGGGATTTTTTTTCGGAACATGTGAAGAAAGGTGGACTAACCCTTTAAAGGAAATCTGTGAGGAAAGAAACATGTAGGCTGCCGCTAAACGCAATGCTGTGAGAAAAAATGGTCTTTGGAGAGTCTAGGGACCTCTCATGTTGGTGAGAAGGAATGTGGAATCATAAGCGCTCCACTGTAATATGAGGGGCAAAGCCCATAGCAAAGGTGGCGAAAGAGATTGGAATAAGCACCTCTCTTTAATCATGTAGGACATTTCATTCAGGATTGCAGGGTAGCCCGTCAAGTTTGGAGGATCCACATCCCCTTCTTCAGAGCTGATTGATGTGAATAAGCAGCGATCAGAAGATATAACTTGTAACAGAAATCCAGCAGGGACCAATGTATTGGATGAATAGCCTCTGTGAAGTCACCACAGAAACACAATGAATGCGAGCGCTTGTTAACAGGAAATGTGACCTTGGACAGCTTTGGGACAGGCTGAGACCAATACTATGGGTTACTTACCCAGGAGAGCATAATACAGCAAAGCAAAGCCAGAACAACTGATTTACAAGCTTGCTTTGGAGTGGTGATGCAAAAAGTACAGAAGTCACTAAATCAGCATATAAGCCAGGCAGCTAACATTTTGTAAAGCAGATGTCAGTAGTGGCCACTTATACGTTCCCTAAATACAGGATTAAAGAGAAGATTAAACTTGCATCCAGGAACAAAAAATAAATAAAATGAACGTGAGATTTGTAAACACTATAGCAGTCATTGTTCGGTAAATGTGCTGATCCTCACAGTGAGGAACTGGTTAATATTCTACAACCGCTTACAAAAGCAAGTTTTTGTTGTAGATCACAATGCACATTAGGCTATAAAACTCTTGCAAAGGTTAGACAACGCAATTGCCAACACCCCCGGCTTGCGACAGACACCAGAGGCTATGAAATCATCTGCAATGTTCTAATGAGATCCATGGTGAGTATTAGAGAAGCCCAGTTTACCAGAAAGTGAATCACCCAGAGATGAAAAGGAGGGCAGCAGCAGTACCAAGTGTAACCATAAGGGGGCACTATACATTGAGCTCGTGGCTGGAAACTGGAATTGTCAGGGCCTTTTTTTTGGTCTTACAAGTGTCTAAAGAAAAAAAAGTGTCCCAGTTAAAGTGAATAATTACCAGCAGCTTACCGTCTTTGTGTACAGGTATGCCTGTATGGATACAGTGGTACCATAGCTGTTTCAAGGTGGAATCTTCACAGAATTTATTCTAGCTAGTCATCAATATTTTAAAAAAATAAAAAAATGCAGATACAATCCTATGCTAGCCTGCAGGCTTGTTTGTGTGGTTTGAATGTAGTATTTATGAAGCTACCTTGCACTTTTTCATTTTTACTCCTTTTCTGCCACTGCCCTCTTCTGCCTGCACAAAAATGCTTATCGCCAGTTAGGATTATGTCTTTGGCTTTGGAGTTCACAATAAGGTCTTTCCAGAAACGTGTTTGTATCTTCTAAATCTAAACCACCTTCGCCTTTGTCCTAGTATTGCACGGCTGGTCGTTAACTGTCAATAGGTGTTCACATGCTTACTGCAGCAGCGATGCATGTCAAGAAAGATTCCGATTGGAAAATGTCTGGCAAGGCAGAGGCAACATGGTTGATAATCAAGTACGGTAAGAATAACATACCAACAGGTTCTAACAATAATGTGACTGCGGAATGTACAAGATGGATCATCTGTGAACAGACCCCCAACATGCTGAGGAGATGCCTCATGTCATTTTTTTAACCCTAGGCCTTTTAAACAGCTTACTCTTGGAGGCATAGTGACCCAATAACCAGTAAGGGTTATACAGTGAATTCTGATTGGTTAGTATAGGTTATTGCACTTTAAACTTTATAAATAAGGCTGTAAGTGTCCTTCTTATGTTCTCATAGGTTTCCCGCTGTGGTCTAAATACTAATCTGGTCGACCACTATGACTTCCTGCCCCGTCATTCTTACTACCTTGCGTCTTTTTTTACAGTCCCTTGTTCTATAGGAAAAAACACACACACTTTTGACCCCCCCCCAAAAAAAAAACACAACTCTGCATGACAGAAATGAGGAATTGTTGAGCCCCATGCCCAATTTACCTACTCAATTGCACTAACTGACATATCCGGCCTTTTTCCTTATGCAATTCTTAAAAGATTCCACCTTACTAATAGTAATAACACTAGTAAAATAAAAAGGCGTGGGGAGAAAAGGAAAGTGATTAGCTAGTTTTGGAAGGAATGTACAAGCCTCGGTTGCGGGTGACAACACCGAGAAGGGAAAACTTGCTCCTAAAAGGGATCTTCAGTTCTCGGACAGCGAAAGGGCCAGAGCCGCTTGTAACGCCGCTTCCTCATCGATGCTGTAATCCTGGAAATAAACACATAAAAGCACACAAATGTTGGCCAAAAAAATAAAAATAAATAGTTTCTATTCTTTATTTCTGTACAGTTCATCGAATAACATCTCATTCATAAAAGAGAACCTGTACCCCCGGAAGCACTGCCCAAAAAAAGTCGATTAGAGGACAAAGGCCTAATCACTAGTATTGCCCCTGTTCTCCCTGCAGCTGAGGTGGCCATCTTGGTAGAGGCAGGGCTTTGCTTCCTTATGTCAGAGCCTCCAACAAGGAGAATACATGAGTGACATATCCAAATCTCACTTCAAAAGCGAAGACTATCCAGTGATGTTAGTTAAAGTTGAAGGTGCCTTCTATTAGCAAAAGTGGAGCTGCACTTAACTGCTCTTCCACTATGAATTATACATTTGCAACCTTGGGGGGGGGGAAAAAGGCAATATAATGTGTTACCTTTATGAACGATATTTAGCCATCATTCACACGAGTGACAGCCGGCCCGTACAGATCCGCGCTGCGTGCACGGCCGTATCGGGCAGCTCCCGGGAAGGACAGGTGCTGTGTGTGATTTGTACGCAGCCCCTGTCCTTCTCTATGGTGGCTGTACGCCACCCTACGCTCACCCAAAAGGGTGCGGGTGTCCCTGCTCGGACGAAGACAGGATCCATCCTGTCTGCGTACGAGTACGGACACACGCACCCGTACGGACGTGCAGGTCGGGTGAGCGTAGGGCGGCGTATGGCCACGCACTCCCATAGAGAAGGACAGGCTGCTGTGTATATTCACACGCAGCACCTGTTCTTTCCAGGAGCTGTCTGATACGGTCGTGCACGCAGCACGGATCTGTACGGGCCGGCCGTTACTCGTGTGAATGAGGGCTTACCGTCAACAGGAGCAATAATTGACTTTGCAATTAAATCCTAATTTTCTGTGACCAAGATGCTCCTGACCACTACTAGAGGATACTGTTTGGAGAAAGGGGGACCTGCCCCCCACTACTAGGCTGAGTAAAGCAGCTTGTCTCCTAACAAGCAGCTTATTCAGCAATTATTTCTAAACGTAAAAAACTGTAGTGGTGGAATATAACTGCTGGATAGTAGGCACTGTAATGTGACAAATCATACCAGTCTGGGTACAGCCATTCTGGGAACATCCAGATTCACTGAAATAGTGAGGGCATAGGAGTCATAGACTCCTTCTGTCATCAATCACTAGAAAATGAGGAACTGAAAACTTTTAAAAGAAAAACAGAAGTTTTATACAAAAGCTGAGACTCCTAGAAGTAAATTTAAAAAAAATAAAGCAGAAGCTTTAATATCACTTTAAGGCATGTTCCCAACCAGGTGTCTAATTTTATAATGTAGCATCAAAGAAACAAAAGATGTAAAATTTGTCCTTATAAAAATACATACCACAAATGTGTCGTAAGAGAATTTATGCCGATGGAGAAGATGCTGAAGAAAGTTGGCACTCTTATAGCTGGGGTCCCCCCACGGCATTGCTGAACAGATGGGGCACACCTAACACCATGTGTGAGTAACAAACACAGCAGTCACCAGACAGAAATGAGTGATTGTAGAAGCAAATAGAAAAAGGTACAATCACAGTTATTCAGTCCATCAAATAAGAGTCAATTGCTGACAAGTTTCATAGCAGCCAACTGTATATACACTATATAGACAAGTTTGTGAGCACCTGACCATCACACCTATGGGAGCTCGCAACTTCTCTGCTTACTGTTGGCGCAAAGAGAGAAAGCCTGTGGAAGCCACATGTCAGGACTTGAGGATAACACAAGGCTGAGGATTCTCTCCCCGCTCCCATGTGCCAGGGCTGCTGTCACATAGGAAAAAGGGGAATGGGTCACATGCACCCATATCCAGAAGTAATTGGTAGTATGCGTTACTGTCTGACAGCACAAACAAAAAGCGGGGGAGTGATGGAAACACTCTAAGGTGCTCACTGCAGGCTTGTCATTCTTATCCTGACTTCCCTACCTGGTGTGTGAACTCGTTGACGTGAATCAGTTGACCATGGCAGCTTCCATATTTCTAACCTGACAGATGGTTATGTCGTGGTTTGCTTTTACCCATCATTTAGTCCATAGGACTTTGGACGTACCACTTTGTTGGGGTCACTCCGGTGATTCTCCATGCAATGTTTCACAAGCTCCTGCTGGTCCAGGTTCCGGGCCCCGCAGTATGGACACACAAAGGTGGACCGGTTTGGAATATTACTGTGACACAGAATGACAATTCATTATTTCAGCAGGAAGAGGAAACATGCATGCTAAATTAGGTCAATCCCTTCTGAATCTCTAAAAAAAATGATTCAGTGTGACAGCCAGGCATGGGACATATTCAGAAGGTGGCCAGCAAGGGCAGCCCACATATTTATGGCAGCAGGTTTCCTTAACGGACAGAAAAAACATATAAACAGCGCTCTCGGATGGGAAAAGAGTTAGCTTGGAGACATGAATGCAGCCCTGGGAAACAGGAGGAGAACCTGTGAATGCAAATAATCAAGAAACCAAGGAAGGGCACAAAAACCACTGGCTAGCTAAAGAAGTTGTAATGGAGACTAAAGGTGGTGGCACTTACGCGTGATTCCCAGGATCTGGAGATGGACGGCCGGTGTGGAGGATCGGGGCACTCGTGGTGTGGGTCCGACTGTAGTTGATGTGCTGATCCGAGAGGTACATCCACGGGAGGGTGTGGACAAGAAGAGGGGACTTCGTCCGAAGTGCCGTTGGGGGTCTGTGCGGTGTGGAGGAGAAGCAGGGAGATCGCTGTGGTGTCGGCAGTGGACAACGGGCAGTGGACAGGGCTGTAGCAGCCGCAGCTGTGTGTGTCAGCGAGCGGTCACTGTCAGGTCTGCTGGGGACAGTGTACGGAAGCACCGCTCGCTGACACACACAGCTGCGGCTGCTACAGCCCTGTCCATTGCCCGTTGTCCACTGCCGACACCACAGCGATCTCCCTGCTTCTCCTCCACACCGCACAGACCCCCAACGGCACTTCGGGCGAAGTCCCCTCTTCTTGTCCACACCCTCCCGTGGATGTACCTCTCGGATCAGCACATCAACTACAGTCGGACCCACACCACGAGTGCCCCGATCCTCCACACCGGTCGTCCATGTCCAGATCCTGGGAATCACGCGTAAGTGCCACCACCTTTAGTCTCCATTACAACTTCTTTAGCTAGCCAGTGGTTTTTGTGCCCTTCCTTGGTTTCTTGATTATTTGAAGGTTTCCTTAACGAAAGATCTTAACCCTTGCGCACAGCTGGGAAAATCCGGGCTTGCCCATTTACTCTACCCATGAGAAATGGGCAGGGACTTACAAATTAATAATGTATTCAGGGGTCAGTCTGTCCAATCTAAGAGTCAGCTCCATTGACAACTGTAGAAAAAGTCAAAAGTTAGGCGCCAACTGCAATTTCTAAGGATCATTGGCAACCTGGCTCCTGAGATTTGTCCAGCCTTGTGTCAGGGTCTTAAAAAAACCTACACAGGTATAACCATCCCCTGACCATAAACGGTTGGTTCAGGCAAATGTTCTCCTATGTCTGGAAGCCACATAAAAAAATTATGCTGGCTGCTCTGAATGGGCTGGGCTGGGCTTTGGCACCAACTAGAAGTGCAAGAGCTTTGGCTTGCTCAGAATGGCAGATATTCAGATGTAGCAGTGTAAGATCAGAGCTATATAGGCGCCTGCACTTTATACATGGTAGCAACCCCCCCCCCCTTTTTTTTTTTTGCTTCTTTTACTAACCCTA